GTCCATTGCGTTTTCAATTCGATGGCTGCAAAACGTTCGAACGTTATTCGCTGACTAGATTGATCAAGTGTAATTTTTGCTTACCTAGCGATTTTCAGCAAACCGCATGCATGTTTCAGGAATAATCCTAAGAACGTACCAACACTTACGACTATTAGTACCGCAGAAAAGAAGAACAAGATAAAATGCGATAAAATAACGTATATATATTTTTCCTGATTGACAGAGTAGTCGATTGGTATGTATACGTAATGCGAATAAGAATTGTTGCGCGATAAGCAGATGTTAATGATGTAAGGTGGAATGGGCATTGTCACGTAGACAAACAAATTGCAGAAGGTAAATACTGCAAAAAAGAAAAAAAAATCAAATTTGCATTCCTATAGAAGCGTACCGCTTCTAGCACCGCAGAAATATATACGGAATAGAGATATAGATATGAAGAAACAAAATCGCGTCAAAGTAAAAAATGCGACAATATTATTTTAACTAATTGATAAGTTGGAAATAAATAATTGTAATATTTGGTGCAACGTTTGCTTCTAAAGAATAGAAAAAAATGAATATAAATGTGTAAAAATGTAACAACGTCGTGAGAATAATTTTGCAACATTTTGAACGTGAAATTTAACTAAGGGCACACTGTTGTGCGGCTTACGCGTTGCTACAAGTGTAACAGTTTTGCCTTCTTTGGCATATGATTCTATTATTTTGCGTTCACGCTCGTCCTCCAATGAGTCCCAATCGGTCTGAACGCATTCCACCATTCGCTTCATCTGTTAGCAAATGCAGAATTTGATGAACTCGAAACAAATTGACATATGCGCGTAAAACGCTTGAAGAATTACAGTTTCACATGAGAAAATTAAATAAAAAATATAACATACACTTTGTCTTTTAATAAGAAAGTAATAGAACTTTAATACAGCCGTTAGACTAGGGAACACACTTGTCATAATATCGATGACAAGAGTCGAAGTGACGTCACGCGTAAGAAAAGCAATTAACTGCAAAATTACAGAACTGTGTTCACAAACGTACAATTCGTTGAAACATTCGATGAAAAAATTGCACACGTGTGGAACAATCGACCGAAATATCGGTAATATATATATGTAAGTATTTATTCTATTAATTAAAAAATCGAAAGTAATCTTCTAATTTTGCACCTGAACGAAAACTCCACTTCCCAGTATGCAAGCAACGATTGTCTTTTGCGTTCTCACGAACATCGAATTCTGACAAGGCCATATACCGATTATCAATAGGAGAATCCGATTAACTCTGTAATGATGTTCCTCGATAGCGTACATCTCGCGAATGTCACAGGTGATTTGCACGAGCTTCCAAATTTCACTTCTGTCTCCATTCCGTCTCCCGCGACTCTTATCACCCGAATTTCGCGCTCGGAAAAAAAAACCGGAGCTCGGAAGTGTCAGCGTGAAGATAATAACGCACTCTTATCTAAAATGTGTAGCGCGGTAACAATTTCCTCGAATAGCGTTATTACATTAATGGAGGATGATTGCTCCGAGAAAACGTATTATTTTCTTACACCGTGCGAGAATGTCATTGCAAAGTTAAGCGCAAGCGCAACAGAAGTGTCGGACCTGCAAATATCTTTCAATGTCGATCGGACCACGGAGACGCTTCCTTCGTTCTTGTATCACAACTTACATACGTGAGAAGATACAATACACGCGCACAATGGGACTGCGAGAAAGTATGTAGTGCGACTAAAAGAGTAAAATTTAACAAACAATCGTTGAAAACAGTATAAAATACACATAATATCGTTTATTAATACAAAAGTCACAGACAGAAAACAATTATTATTTTTATGTGACAAAACAATTCTCGCGCCGTTTAATTTCTCGCATATAGTTTCTTGTTTAGTTAACGCAGAAGTTTTATTATAGACGATTTATTTCGACGATTCTCTTTCCATTGTTTGCGTCGTGTAAATCATCATGAAATAAGAAATGGATGAACTCAGAATCTAAAACGAAAATATCGTGATTTTTACGCTCGTATTGAATATATGACAATTGTACACAACATATTGCGTATCGTTTTACCGCAGCAAAACCTTCCAACGAGCCGACGAAGATGCCGCCGAGAAGAATGGTGAAATTCTTCGTGCCGTGTTGCAACAAAAACAATATCAATTTTTGAGTTCTAAGAGGCGCGATGTACCACATAGAATTGTATCTAAATTTTTAAAGAAATATATGTATATATATATTTGTTTTTTTCAGTAAGATACGCGCAGATGTAAATTGTGCAAGAATTATTGTAATTCGTGAAATTGACGTCTCGCACCACGGAAACGAGACTTTGACGTTTTCACACTCACGTTGAAAGAAACATGTTGTTACAGTGATCGGTGACCTCTTGCGCGGAATAATTCGACATGAATATGTACAAGAAATGTCCAATCAGCATCGTTACAATTAAGAACATCTTACGATAATCACAAGTTGTTTGTACCTCTCTAAGAAGCTAGAGGACACGAAATAAAATTGTCGACAATAGCTCGGTTATGTGTAAAACACAAAATTTGTTTGTTTTTGTTTTTGTTTTTGTAAAATATCTCACTCGAAACATGAAGATGCTCACGGAGATCGTGGCTAGTATGATCAGCAAAAAATACATTATTGCGAAAGAAGACATAACACGATCTGTGAACCTTCAAAACAGTGTCTCAATGAAACTGGATACGCTTACGTTGCAAACGATAAACATGAATCTTCTGTTATACAGATATTGCACGCATGTAGAAATATTTGCGTAAGTAAATTTATTAAGAAAAGAAACTAAAATAGCAATAGTTAATACATATATGGATACGAACTTCAACGCTTTTTGTTGGATGAATACGGTCCGTATTATTTTCACGTACATGATATATTCCCTCTCTACCGCACGAATATGATTTTCACGCTCCATATCCAATGCGTGTTCCATTCGGAAGCTACAAAATAAATTTCAAATTTCTTTCCGGCGACACTGTACAACAAATTTCCAAGATTTGATATTTTTCTTACCTGGCAATTTTCAATAAACCACAAGCGTGCTTTATGTACAGTCGTAAGAACGTGCCAATACTCGCGACCGTTATTATCCCGGTGCTCAGAAATACGACAAAATGCAACAATATGATGTATATATATTTTTCTTGATCAATGATGTAGTTGATCGGTACGTAAACGTACTGCGAGTAAGTGTTGTTGTGCGATAAGCAGATGTTAATGATATAAAACGGAATTGGCAGCGTTATATATCCGAAGATGACGCAACAGGAAAATACTAAACATGAAAAGTGAGTAGATTTTTATTAGAAGCGCGCGCATTGCTGAAAATATACAGAGTAAAAATATCTGATAATATAAAGATAAAATATACAATAGAAATATATAATACAGAATCGTAAGATTGAAAGATACTTTTTTGTTCGGGACGAGCAACAGATTTGCAATTAAATATATATTTTGCAATTTTTTGTAAAGATATCAAAATTCGATCTAATCGCTACTTGGCTCTTACACGTCACAGAAATAGTAAAAACTCTTCCGTCCTCGGTGTACGATTCGAGTATGTCGCGTTCGCGCTGATTCTTCAGCAAATTCCAATCCGTTTGAACGCACTCCAAAGTCTGTTTCAGCTGTTGTATTGAAATTATAAAAAAAAATTAAAAAAAAAAAAAATACAAATGAAGACAAGTTTTGCATCACGTCGCAACACAGCTGAAATGCAAGACTTACAATTGTTGTTTTAAGGAAAAAGTAATAGTACTTTATCACCACTACCAGACTGGGAAACACATACAACAAACTATCGATAACATCGATCGAACTGGTCTCGTGATAAGCGAATACTGCTAACTGCAACATTATAGAAATGTGTCAAAAAAAAAAAAAGACGAAGAAATACATAAGACATATAATTTAGAAGTATGAAAGAAAAACGAGAAAAACATTGAAAAAATACAAGACGAAAATATCGAGTAGAAAAATTTCTTCCGGTAATTGCAAAACTGAAAGTAAGTAACTTTCCACGATGTCGTACCTGAACGAAAATCCCACTCCCGAGTATGCTGGAGATTACTATCTTTTGAACTTTCGCGAACGTCGAGGTCTGATAGGGCCATATACCGAGTATTAAAAGAAGCATGCGATTGATTTTGTAGTGATGCTCCTCGATGGCGTACATCGTGTACGAGTGTGTGTGTGTACGAGGAAGAACTTCCGAATTCTACTTCTGTTTCCATTCTGTTTCCAAGGACGCTGCGACCCTTGCCGCACTAATTTTTTGTGCTTGGAAAAGTGCACGTGGAAGAAGCTCAAGCTCGAAAACAGCGGTGAGAAAATAATAATGCGCCGTGTTTGTCGAGAAAGTGTAGCGTGTTGGTAATTCAACTAATACCGCGTTATTATAGTAAATACGGATGATTACCGGAACGAACAGGTGTTTGTTTTTTTTTTTTTTTTAGGGGAGATATTCACGCGAGTAACGCAAGCGCAGTACATGCGTGTCGACAGCGAACACCTTTCATTGTTGTTCGAGCTATCGCAGGTGCTTCTTTCGTTCGTGCATCGCAACATGTGCATCCAGGTGAGATGTAACAAATCAATAAGCTCCGGGTGAACGTAATGCAAACAAACTTGTTAACAATGTATCTATAAAAACTCTTTGTGAATAAAACAATCAGCTGCGTAATTTTTTAATGCGTGCGTGTAATAAATATTTGAATGTATTTTTATTGTGTCAAAAAACATGTTCAGATAGATGTTTCGAATGGTAATGGTTCATGTAGTTTCGCGACAAATGTGCAAAATGTATAGTAAAAAAAAAAAAAAAAAAAAAACTGAAAACTTACAAAACTTTTAAACTTCTTCGTTAATCTTTTTTCTTTCTTGTTTTACCACAAAACAAATTTTGTTATTCTAACGTGTGTGCATATAAAGGAAGATACTATGTAGTTATTAATCACATTCTTCTCACTGCACAGAGCACATTACTGCCACGTACGACAGCGCAGAATTAAGTAGCTAAAAAACAAAGCATTTATTTTAAATTATTATCTCATCAGAATCCCGCTTTATATTAGCCCTGCGTACCGAGGCGAAACTTTCCATCTTCCCTACCAAAATGTAGCCGAGTGTGAAGTAGAAATCTTTGCTGGTTTTTTGCATCAGGAACAAAATCAGTTTTTGCGACGACACAGGCATTAAATACCACGACACACCGTAACTAAAAATACGATACGTTTTATAAAAATAATTTAACCAAAAAAACAGTAGTTGTGTCAATAACGATTTATGATTCTCTGAAACGTTGTTTGATATTCTAAATTTTTACACAGCTACACACATGGAGCGTCAATATTTATACTTACATTAATCTGAAAATTTCTCTGTTGCTATCAGTGATTTTTTGCGCAATATAAGACGCTACATACATGTATATCAGATGAGCCGAAGTGACAAGACAAGACTTCACCATGTCTTCCATGTTTTTCGTCAGCGTCGCCGCTTCAACGAACTAAGCGTGTTGAAAAGAAGAAAATAAATAAATCGAATGTGTTTTTTTTCAACTTACGAGACACAGTGCGCATTTGACAAATATCATTTTTCTTCTCCCAAAAAGGTAAAGATAAAATACTATGTAAAAAATACATAAAAATAAATAGAATCGAATATATAAAATATAAATTCGGCAAATTTGAACCAATTGTACAAGATGTAATGCAAATAATAATGTATTAAATTTCAATGTATCAATACAACGCGATTTCGATTTTATTTTACGTCGAATTTTGGATTGTCTAATATTTGCTCAATAAGCGATTGTTAATTTAAGGCATATATTAACTAAAGATGATTTAAAACGAAGTGAAAACATATTAATTCACTGAAATTTAATATATTATTTGCATTATATTCTGCAATTTAAATTTATCAAATTTATATTAGCTCAAATTGGATTTACCGTAACACAAACTTGACCGTTTTATCTCTTATAATACACTATCTTAATTATATAAAAATACTTACGCTGAACAAATTAATACTCAGCGAAAGTACGCCGAAGATAGCGATCGTGCAGTACGGCGCGTTAAACGACGAAATTATGATATCGGAGAACCTTAAAAAAAATTAAAACCAAAAACTTAATAAAAGAAACAGCTTCTAATTAATTGAATGAGGTGTTAGTTTTTTTTTTTTTCATTTTCGAGAAACAAAAATTAATACAACAATCACTAACTCCAGAGCTCTACGATGCGCGATTACGGCCTGCACGATGCTTCGACAAATCGCGCGTTTCTTTTTCAAATCCGGCGCGTGCAAGAAAGTGTCCTCGATGAAGTATTCCACTCGATGACTGTAAAATATATTTCCAAAGCTTAGTTTTATACGCGATCGGACTTTGTCGCCGACGTAAATCACCTGGCGATCTTGAACATTCCGAACGAATGACAGGTGAATGTCAACAGTTGCGTCGCGGTCGCCAGTAACACTGACCCGTATACCACCATGATCACGAGCTCGTGAAGTATCTGCATGGAAAAGTACTCGTACTCGAGGGGAATGAAATATTCCACCTTGATGATAACGGCGCGTGACCGGGGTTTGTCAAGCGGCAAAACTACGTCGAGAATGAAGGGAAGAAATTCGATAATGATTCCACCAATTAGCATAAAACAGGCGTACACTGCAATGCAAAAAGTTGCAACTTCACGTGTTGAACAATCACGCTTGCGGAATTGATTAAACTTCTCTCACTTGTGCGCGCGAGCGTATAATACGCTCTTTGTGATATAATTAACTATAATTTATATAAAAAAAAAACCATGTGTACCGACAAATCAACGTTTTCTTACAATATGCGAAAATAGTGTAAGTTCGACCGTAATGAGCGTGTTTCTTCAATATTTCGATTTCCAATTTACTTTGTATCATTTTCCAATCCTCTTCAATGTGATAATGCAGGATTTTTATCTGTTATTCAAACCATATCTCGTTTTATGCAATGTGTATCAAAAAAAGAGAAATATATACACATACACACACACATACAAACGTAAAAAAAAATTATATAAAGATACATGCTTTCCGAAAGCATTGATTGCGCAAGTGTAGATGGATAGAACTCACGGTTTCCGATTTAAAGATAAAAACGAAATACTTCAGTGTAATTATTATAGTGGGAAAAGCGAACGACATAGTTCTAATGAAGAGAATCAAATCGAACTTCGTTGTAAAGAAAACCGACAGCTGAAAACAAAACAAATACGGCGATTGACTGTAAAAATCATTTCGCAGTGTGAATTAATTTACACATTACACAATCTTTTTTTTTCTTATTTGTACATTTACAATATTTCATAAACATTGTTAAAGTCATTATTGAGAACAAACCGAACAATTGTTTTCAAGAAGATCTTACTTTGTACGCGCTCTTTGTTACCTGCATGCCGACAAATGACACAGTGACGATAATGACCAGCATCCGCTGCAATAGCACGAGCCGCGATTTACTGTGAGGCCAGATGCCCAACGCCTTCAAGAAAGTCTTATTGATTGTGTAGTAATGGTCTTCGAACTGATACATGTTGCGCCGCGTGTAAATTGCAACAAGACGGCGCGAAACATCGAGAGACACGCTGTATCTTGCTCCAAAAGTGTTCTCGCAATTGTGCGCATTTCTATCGACTTTTACATTATTTGAAAAAAATTCCTAAACGCTATAGAAGATAATTTTACCAAATTACCAACCCCTCAGTAATGTGCGTTGTTTATACATATAGTGAAATTATTTTACGGAAGCGTCACAATCAATGTTCCTTCCGAGCAGTCGAAGAAAATTATCTAAATTGCTCGGCAAAGTGTCTTTACGTCTCATTGCGAGATACTAATGCTTTCTACAACTCTTCACACAAATTCTTCGTGTTTTTGGAGCACATGCGCAGTTCCAACCGCAATTCATCATTTACCGAGCGACGGAACAGTCTCTTCTCGGCTGTCGGGAGCTACGGAAAGAAATCACGAAAAGACAAAGACGCTTCTTAGTGAGATGTAAGAGAATAGTTTTGACTACAAGTTTGTATTTGAAGATCACATTACAACACTTGACACACCGTGTGAAATATATTCGATGATATGTTTGAAACAATACGGTTTATTTCACACGACTCGGGNTTCGTCACTTACTGAGTGACAGCACAGTCTCTTCTCGGCTGTCGGGAGCTACGGAAAGAAATCACGAGAAGACAAAGACGCTTCTTAGTGAGATGTAAGAGAATAGTTTTGACTACAAGTTTGTATTTGAAGATCACATTACAACACTTGACACACCATGTGAAATATGTTCGATGATATGTTTGAAACAATACAGTTTATTTCACACGACTCAGGATTACACATTTCGTTTGGATCGCAAACGTGAAAAATAGTGAACACATAGAGAAAGATTTTTAAAAGACTTTNTAAATATTACTTAACAACAGTGAGCGTCAAGTGTATAAATAAACGTACTAAAACTTCATAATGATACTAGTGTCTTAAGTGCAACTGCACATCACGGTGACATAGGATAGCGAGGCCTTCAGGATCTAAAAAAGAAAGAAACGTGATTTCGTACAAGCCTTTTCGGGTTTTTTTCTTGCACATCTTACCGCAGCGAAAGTATCCAATTTTCCTTCCAATATAAGACCCAATCTGAAAACACACTTTTTGCTAGCTTTTTGCATTAGAAACAAAATAAGTTTCTGCGATGTTACGGGCATCAAGTACCACGACGTTTCGTATCTTAAAATTAAAGTAATAATGTAAAAGCATTCCATGTTGAACAATCTCGTAAAAAAATTGGTTACAATAAAAAAAGCAAGAGAGCTTTTGATATTAAATAGCGTCCTACACTTTTATGATAACAATTAGTGTCACAACGTAATAAATACTTACGTTACATTTAACAATTCGTCATTATAATCGGCGATCTTGTGTGTGATAAGCAACGCCACAAACATATAAATCAGAAGTCCTGCTGCGACGAGAGCATACATTAACGCATTTTCAAAAATGTGTGTTATCGTTACCGCTTCAACGATCTGACATGTTTTAGAAAATTGCGATTTANTAACGGAACATAACTTTACACTGACACACACATAAGATATACATTTCGTTTTCAAAGTTCTTTACTTACGCCATACAAAGTAATGCTCAACGATAGCACTCCAATACTAGCCAAAACGCAGAAATAAAGATTAAATGATGACAGAAAACGGGTAGAAAACCTTTAAGAGAAATATTGAGTAAAAAAGAACCACAGAGCAATTAAATATCTTGTATAACACAGTAGATGATAGAGATGTTGGAAAAATTTATTAAAAATAAGAAAACGCATTATTAGAGTGTACTAACTCCAGAGCTCGACGGTGTGCAAAAACCGCATACATTATTTTCTTGCAAANTGCGCGTTCTTTTTCAGAACTTGGTATACGCTGCAACGCACTGTCATTTGTGAAGTACCGTATACGATATCTGCAAAGTATTACAACTTTTATTCATGATCATGTTCGTTATGATTCGAGTAACACTCACTTGGTGATTTTGAACATGCCAAAGGAATGAGACACGAATATTAGTAATTGTATTATTGTGGAAAACATCACCGCCGCGCCCACCGTCATGAACACTATCTCGTGCATAACTATGGTATAAAAGTACTTGTCTCTAGAAACGAAACATTCCACTCTTAGAAAAACATCGCGTTGACGAGGTTNGTCCAGTGGCAGAATAACGTCGAAAATAATCGGATAAAATTGGAACAAGATGANACCCGCAATAAAAAAACAAATGAACGCTATAAGAAACATAAAAGNAACAACAAATTTTTCATGAGGTATAATACGCAAAAAATAATTATTATATCAATATTCTACAAACAGATTATTTAGCAGAGATTATAATTCTTTATATACAGAATATTTTAGAATCTTTCCTTACACAATATAAGAATAAGGTAAAACTGAAGCATATGAGCATTCTTTTGTATTACATCGTGTTCTATGTCGTCACGCAGTAACATCCAGTCATCTTCTATTTGATTGTGAAAATTCAAAATCTGCCAAACATGTTTCTTAATGCTTCATGTTAACTAAACCATACNATCTTAACTTGTACAATCGAAAATAAAGACGGCAACTCACGTCGTCGGATTTAAAAACAAAAGAGAAGTATGTAAAAGCCACAACCATACTACAGCAGACACATGCTGACATCCTAATTAAGAGTGTCATAGTACATTTCTCTGTTACAAATACTGTGAGCTGCAAACGTCAAAAAATCAAATCAATGAATCAAACGTTATTACAATAATCGATCTATACGATATGCTTTATACAACTCTTGTCAAAAATTGTAAGTCCTTGTGATATCTAGTGCGATACAGATAAACCACGCTGTTACCTGCATACAAATATGTGGCACAAGTATTAGAGTAACCACCATACGCTGCACAAATGCTTGCCGCGACGTATCATGATGCCAAATACCTAACGCTTTCAGTAATGATATACTGATGGAACTATANTAATGTTCTTCGTTAGAATACATATTANACAACGGACAAAGTNCGACTGACCGATATACAATATCACGTACTACGTAAACTTGATCAAACTATATACTCGAAATTACATTTGTTTCGCTGTTACATTATCTAAGAATATTTATGATTATGCAAAANAAATGNGCGCAATTGCTGATATATTATTTATACAATATTCGCGNNAAACATATNGAAAAATGTCNTAATTGCAAAANTGTAATTCGTCTATTAGACGAGAATTACATAAATTGANAAGAAAAGTGTAGTTACNTTGCGNGNTNATATTNTGCTCTTTATATCTTTTCTCACATGTTNATCATTTTNGGTTTGCACCTGCGCAGTTGCGATCGCAGTTCATCATTTATCGAGTGGAGGCATAGTCTTGTCTTGGCTGTCGAGCGCTACGGATGGGAGTCACGAAAAAACGTATTTGCTTCTTAGTGAGATTTAAGAGAACAATTTTAACCGACTAGTGTTTAAAATTCACAATACAACACTAAACAAACTATGTTAAGTATGTTTAACGAGCCCCTCGAAACGATGTTTTATTTCACATACTTACTCAATTATCTAGTTTCTTTTATAAATGTGATAAGTAGTAAACACGCGAGTACGTATGTAGACAAAAGTATATAGAAAAATATGTAGTTCTTACATATTCTTTGACAATAATTGACGGTGAGTGTTGCAACAGTCTTAGAAATTCAGATTAATATACTTAATGTGTGCAGCTATACATCACGGCGACGTAAGACAGCGAGGCATTTACGAGCTAAAAAGTGAGGATTGTGATTTCATATTGGCTTTATATACGTTTTTTTTGTGTAAATCTTACCGTAGCAAAAGCTTCTATCTTTGCTACAAGTAAATAGTCGATCGTAAAACAAAACTCTTTGCCAGGTTTTTGAAGTAAAAACAAAACAAGTTTCTGCGACGATACAGGCATCAAGTACCACAACGAATCGTATCTTAAAAGTGAACAAATATTATATAAATCATAAATTATTAATATGTAACCATTCTGTAATGACCGATATTGTCAAAGGTTTATTTTATTGGTTAAAATAAAAACTAGTGTAAAATAGAACGAGTCCTTTTGAGACTAAATAATTTTGCACCTTTATGATAAATATCAGCGTTAAAACAAAATAAGTACTTNCGTTAAATTATACACTTCGTCATTGCAATCCGTAATCTTCTGTCCAACAAACATTGCCACAAACATATACATTAAATGTCCTAGTACGGAGACAAGATACAATGCTGCATTTTGGGGAGTTTTGGATATCGTTATCGCTTCAATGATCTGACATATATGTAGAAAAGTGCAATTTGCTAACATACGTAACTTTTAATTGCTACATACATAAGTATATATTTTGTTTTTAAAGTTCTTTACTTACGCCATACAAATTAATACTCAACGATACCACTCCAAGGATAGCTATAACGCAGTACGGAGCATTAAATGTCGATGCTATAATGTTGGAAAACCTTTAAAATTGTCGTAAAAATATTTAGTATATAAGAGAACCACATAACTATCAAATATCTTGTATAAGACACTACATGATCGATGTTGAAGAAATTGCAAAATTACAATAGAATAAATAGTTTAACCAATTGACGATAAAAATACACATATATATGTGGTGGAAAGTTACATTGTATATTTTTCAATGTTAAAAACCCACCATACTAATTATAATACAATACAATGTTACAGTATACTAACTCTAGAGCTCGCCGGTGTGCAATTACCGCATACATTATTTCTTTGCAAATCGCGTGTTCTTTTTCAGAATTTGGTATATGCTGCAACACACTGTCATCTGCGAAGTATCGTATACGATGTCTGCAAACCATTCATTTTTTCTTCATGATCATAATTGCTATGTTTCGATTAAGACTCACTTTGTGATTTTGAACATGCCGAAAGAGTGAAAAAGGAATACTAGTATTTGCATCGATGTGGAAAACATCACCGCTGCGCACAACAGAAGAAACGCAATCTCGTGCAACAAAATGGTATAAAAGTATTTGTTATTTGAAACAAAATATTCCACTCTCAGAAGAAATTCGCGTTGACGAGGTTCATCCAGTGGCAGAATAACGTCAAGAACAATCGGAAGAAATTGCAAAAAAATTAAACTGGCACCGACAAAACAAACGAACGCTATACGAAACATAAAAAAAAAACATCAGATTTCATAAAGGTCAATGCGCAAGAAATGATTATACATCATTATTATTCGTCATTCTTTTTTGTCCTACAGAGAGATTATCGAGTAAAACATTTGAATTCTTTATATGCACAATATTAAANTCTTTACTTACATAACGTAAGAGTAACAAAAAAATGAGCACTATGAGCATTCTTTTGTATAATATCGTGTTCTATGTTGTCACGCATCAACATCCAGTCTTCTTCTATTCGATTGTGTATATTCAAAATCTGTCAAACGTGTTTCTTATTTAATGCTTCACGTTAAATAAAACATATAATTTTAACTTGTGCAACAAAAATGACGGTAACTCACTTCGTCGGATTTAAAAACAAAAACGAAGTACTTCATGACCATTATAGTAAACGGACAAGCAAGTGCTGTAACCCTAATAAACAGCGTCATAGTGTATTTCTCTGTTAAAATTACTGCAAACTGCAAACGTCAAAAAACAAAATCGATGAATCGAACGTTGTTACAATAATCGTTCTGTAATGTGCTTTATTAGACTCTCGTCAAAGTGTAAGACTGTGTTGCCTCTACTGTGATACAGAGAAACCGCTGTTACCTGCATACAAATATGTGGCACAAGCACTAGTGTAATCACCACACGCTGCAAAAGTACTAGACGCGACTTATCATGATGCCAAATACCTAACGCTTTCAATAAGGTTATATGAATGGAATTGTAGTAATGTTCTTTGTTCGAATTCATACTGCGCAACGGACGAAATGCGACTGACCGATATAAAATATCACATAACGTACTTAAGATACAATTTTAATCCAACATTTTTTTTTTTAAATTATCTGAGAATAGGGATGATTACGCGAGATAAGTGTGCGCATTTACAGATATATTTTTTATGCACTATTCGCGCGATATGTATTGAAAAACGTCTAAGGAAAAGATCGTACTTGCAATATAATTTTAATAGACGAATTACCTAAATTGATCGGTAAAAAAAGTTGTTACATCGCGCAATGATATAGGGTAACTGTCCCTATTTGTGTGCTGTTAAGCAAGCGTGCTCTCTTTTTTGAATAAATACTCAATTAACTGACTTCAAATGAGCTTGCTCAAAATTTATATCGATTCTTTAAACTCTTCTTTTGACAATAAGATTTGTATTAGCCCAAAATATTAATATATTTAATTAATTTTAATTAAAATTAAAGAAGATTTTTTGTCCCTATTTATGTGCCCTTTCGATAGGCATTGAACATTTTTCTGTGTTCCCAGTTTGTGTGCCAGCCCCAAATTGTGTGCTTCCAATTTGTGTGCCTATTCCAAATTATGTGCCTCCAGTTTGTGTGCTAGTCTCTAATTGTGAGCCCTCTGTTTGTGTCCATCTCAAATTATAAATATAAATTATAAGTTTCCTATTTGTGTATTTGTTCATAATTATGAAGTTTTAGTTAAATAAATGTTACAAAACTACATGAAACAAATGTATATATGTTT